GGCTGAGGCAGGAGGATTGCAAGTTCAAAACCAACCTCAGCAAAAGCAAGGCGCTAAGCAACCCAGTGAGACCCCATCTCTAAATAAAATACAAAATAGAGCTGGAATGTGGCTCAGTGGTCAAGTGCCCCTGAGTTCAATCCCTGGTAGAAAAAAAATTTTTGCCTCCTTTTGGTCAACCTTACACCTTCCCCCCTGGGGTTGGCTCTCTCCACTGCCGGCACATGATGTCTTGAGTTGGGGAGTCCACTGCTACCCAGGAGATGCTCCTGGGTAAAATGTGGTTTTCCAAAAGCTTTAAGTCCTAAAGAAGGTAATGCTTTAAATTTCAGCTTTCCTACTTCAGAGACACCCTCCTCCTGTTCATGGGGTCCTCTCTTCTTCAACCTTAGCACTTATCATTGATTTATATACCCACTCACCTTCCTTCCACAGACTACCTACCTGCCCATCCATCCATTTATGCATCCACCACCATCCATTGTCCATTGTTAGGGTCTGAATCTGAAATGTGCCCCCAAAATTCATGCATTTAGGGTTTGGTTGCCAAAGCAGCAATATTCAAAGATGGCACTTTGGGGGCAGTGATGGATCATGAGGGTTCTGACATCATTGGTGGGTTAACCCATTGATAACTGAACGGACAGCTGAAAGGTGGTCAGAACTGCAGATGTGGGGCCTGGGAGGGTGTATCTTGTCCTCTGTCTCTGCTTCCTGGCTGCTGTGAACAGGAAAGCCTTCCGCTGCCCTTCCACCAGGATGTTCTGCCCAGTCTCAGGCCAAAAGCCATGGAACCACCCCACCATGGGCTGAAACCCATGAGCCAAAATAAATCTTTCATCCTTTAAGTTGTTTTTCTCAGGTATTTGTCACAATAGAAAAAGTTGAGTACACACCCATCCACCATTCAACCATCCACGCATTCATCCACCCATCCACCAACTTATCTCATCCCATGACCCACAGATGTCCTCAGAGAAGAGTTGTCTCCGGAGACAGGCCTGGGAGTTCCTGGAGAGAAGGGAGAACTCAACGCAGGACCAGTAGGGTTCTTGGCGCACTTGAGGGAAAAGGATTTCAGCATGCGCTAGTCAAGGGCACGGACAGGCTTATTTAGGAAAGTGGAGACACATTCCAGGAGAATGTGGGTGATCTCGAGAGTTTTGAGGTGAGCAGGGAAAATACAGTCAATGGAGAATGTGGACCATATCCAGAGGAAGAGTCGCCCATTGGTGTGGGGGTGTTAGTATTTATAGAGGGGTGGTTGCTTGGGGCTGGACTACAGGGGGAGCCAGGGCAGAGCTACACACTCTCATGCCTGTTTTCCTGGGCCTGCCCATTGCCCTCAAGTTTCTTCACTGCAGACCAGGGCATGGGCCAAGGGGATGGGTAGATGGCACAGGAGTTGAAACCATCAAGGGTGCTTTCTGCATTTCAATGGTTCATGCGTGTTTTCCTTGAGACTCTGTATCTCTCCCTTTTATGTGTCCCCAGATTCCTATCTCAAATCTATCTAGCCCCCCCCATCCACCCACCAATCCATAAGAACCCCTAAGGGCCACTAAGATTTTGTATTTTGGTACTGGAGATGGAACCCAGGGGCACTTAACCACTGAGCCATGTCCCCAGTCTTTTTATTCTTTATTTTGACACAGGGTCTTGCTAAGTTGCTTAGGGCCTTGCTGAATTGCTGAGGCTGGCCTTGAACTTGTGATCCTCCTGCCTCAGCCTCGGGAGTTGTTGGAAAGTATTTTGGATTTGACTGGGTGGGACCTGTAGTGCACAGTGCGGAGGGCTGGAGTGGAGGGGGAGTGGGAGTCTGAGCATGTCCCTATGGACTGGAGGACAATGGGAAGCCCATTCGGAGTCTTCAACTGGGGAGTGACAAATCAGAGCTGGGTTTTTAGAAGTTCCTCTGGAGTGGTTTGGAAAAGACCAGGCCTGAGGTGGGGCTAGGGTGGGGCCGCATATGGAAGGATTTGAAAGCCTTCTGAGAGGGGTGGAGGGTTGCCCAGTCCCTGTCTGGTCCAGGCAGGTGGGTGGAGAGAGACAGAGAAGCCATTCTTCATGGGATGTGGCTTCCTCCTCTGCCATAGTCACTGCCTTGTGCTCCAGGGCACCTGGCCCAAGGGAGCAGGCCTCCTGGGCACACAGACCCACAGGGAGCTGTCTCTGTTTCCTTTATGGGAGGGGATTTCAGACTAACTGCTTCTCTGGGCTCCTGTAGCTATGGCAACCGCCCACCCTCTGGCTTGCTATCTTGGTAGAGGTTCCTGTAACAGAGGTCCACTTGCTGCTCTGCCGCTGCAACTTACTCTTAATGGACATGTTTCTTTGTTGCAGTGGGCAAAAGGTGTGACCTATGCAGTCCAGGGGGAGAAATAAAGAATGTCCACGCGCTTCTGCCCTAGTCAATGCTTTATTCACTCAACTCGCTCAATACAATTTCACTCTGTAGGTTCTTAATCAAGAAAACGGCAATCCTTAATGCTGGGCACTGCAATAGACATAATCAATTCACAGCAAACAATCCTAGATTAATTAATTCACAGCAAACAATCCTAGATTAATTAATTCTAAGCCTGCAAACACACTTAATCATGACAGGCTAATGACAGACATTCCCTCTGCAAATTAAGCTCAAGTGCCAGGTCTAAAGTCTCAAGCCTTAGGCTCTAAGTCCACAGATGCCCACTCACTCAGAAGGAGGTGATCAGGTCAGGAACCAAGGCAGGCTTCTCCTGGGACGGAGCAGGCGGCTGGCTGAGGAGGGGGCTGTAGGGAGAAGTTACGGCTCTCACCAGGGTCAAGATATGGCTGTAGAGTTGGAGAGTGGTGAGGAAGACGCAGGGGATCAGCAAAGAATGACAGGTGATGGGATGTCAGTCCAGGTCCTCATCAGGCTCTCCAGCTTGTAGGCATCAGTTTCGTCTGGCTGAATATCTGTTCATTTGCTCTATTATTTATACTAAATTTTGGGGCTTTTGACCCCTCTTCAATCCTTATCAGCTACCATGGGATTTCTCAGGGACATCATTTACCCTGGGGTTAAAACATCTGGCCTTGTGGTCCCCACCCTGATCTTTTCACCTTTACCTTTTCTCAGGTCTTTCCCTCCTATCCGAGGAGGCCAGCTTTCCAGAGGCTTCACTCTGAGTTTATCAGGGCGGGGAGAAGTGACTTGTTTGTGCCGGGGAGCCATACTAGAGGGCTCTGTTAGGCAAGTGTGGTGAGACTGCAGGTTTCAAACTGGAGTTTTTAAAATGGAATTGCTTAGGCTCAGGCCCAAGACCATCCTCACATTCTTTCTCTTTCTCTCCCTGCTACTCCCTAATTGCTCCTTCTCCCTAATCTCAGGGGGAAGCAGGATTAGCAATCCATCCTAGGCAGAGTTACCTGTCCTTGAGCACACACATACACACCACAGGAACAAAGTAATTCAGACTTTGGGGATGGTTCCAGAAGATCTCAGAAATGACTATCTCCCAAGTTAACAAGTGAATTACAGCTCCAACAGAGAACACATGCTTTTGAATCATCTCCTTAAAAGCCTCCTGATCCCCTCGATGGGCAGAATCACAGCTTCTGGGACAGGAGTTCTCTGTGCTTCTCCTTTGCTAGAAAGCAATAAAACTTCTTTTCCTCAAAACCATGTCTTTGTTATTGGATTGGCATGGGGACAAGGATGGAGCTTTAACAGTTCCTGTATCATTTGGCACGCTTTTTTTAAAAAAAAAATCTTGTTTTTTAGTTGTAATTGGACACAATACCTTTATTTATTTATTTTTGTGTGGTGCTGAGGATAGAACCCAGTGCCTTGCACATGCTAGGCAAGTGCTCTACCACTTGAGCCACAACCCCAGCCCTCACTTTTTTTTTGTACCAGAGGTAGAACCCATGGGCACTTAACCACTGAGCCAGCCCTTTTTAGGTTTTATTTTGAGACAGAGTTTTGCTAAATTGCTGAGGCTGGCTTTGAACTTGGGATTCCCAGCCTCAGCCTCCTCAGCCTCAGCTGCTGGAATTACAGGCGTGCCTGGTGCTCTTTTAACTGGAAGACAGAAGGCTGTAGAGTACCCTACCTAGGCCTGTGTTGAGCCTTGGGGCTGTGGGGTCATGCCACCCTAAGATTTGAAGACCCATGGGGCTGCAGAAGACCAGCTTAGGCTCTCCTCCCGCCCGCGTGGCCTCCTCTCTGGGTGTCCCCTTCCTCATTTGTAAAGGGAGGCAGAGAAGGACCCCAGGAGAGAAGGCTGTGCCACCACTCACCCACAGCAGAGCAGCCTGCAGGCTCACAGAAGGGACCGGGAATTCACGTACAATCCCTCTGGGTGCCAGGAGCAGGAATTCTGGTCACCTTCCCCCTTTGACCGCAGTCATCTGGCGCCATCTAAGGGGTAGTTACGAGGTGCCAGAGGCTTTAAAAGCTAGTCTAGGTGATGGAGGGCCGGGTTCAGCAACTGAACGTGTCCACCCCGCCCCTCCTATCCTCAGGTAGCCCCCGCTCCTTCTCCACAGGTGCCACTCTCCCAGCGTGCCCGGACACGGGTGCACAGCTCTCTGAACGAGCCCTCTCTCCCGAATAAAGTCCGAGTTTGAGCGGGCGGACAGGGAGGCCACCTGGCCTCGGGCTGGGGCGGCCCAGGAGCGCTGGCCTGCAGGGGTCAGGCGTGGGCCCTCGAGGAACCAGGCGCGGACGCCTGTCCTGGGGCGCCGGCCCGGGCCGTACCGGCGCAAGGGACCCAGCAACACGCTCCAGCGTACCCTAGAAGGAACAGGCGAATGGCCCACATCCGCCAAGCTTAAGCTAACGCTTCCGGTAGAAAACGCGGGTCGTATGCGGCTCCTTTAAGGCGGTGCGCCCTCCAAGGCTTTATGGCCCTCGCTGCCGTCCGTCGCCCCACCCCGCCGTCCCGCCCCCCGCGCACGCGCGCCGCCGCCCGCCGCCCGCGCCCCACCGCGTCTAGCTCGTCCGCGCTCGCGCCAGGCGGCGGCTGCCGCGACGCCCGCCCGCCCGTCCCGCCGCGGCCGGCAGGTAAGAGGCGGCGCGAGCCAGAGATGGCGGGGCGGGCGGGCTCCCGCAGGACCGCCGCACGTGTCCGGGGCCTCGGTCCGCCGCCGCCGCGTGATTCCTGCCGCCGACCCCGGGAGCCCGCCCGCCCTCAGTGTCCCGCGTGCGCCGCCCGCGTCGCCCGGAGGGACCCCGGCTGCGGGCTGAGGCGGAGCGCACCCCGCTCGCGGCTTCTGCGGTCCCGGCGGCAGAGGCGCGCAGCCCCGCCACCTTCGCGCAGGTTTGAGCGCGGCCGCCGGTGCCCTCCCGGCCGCGCGCCGGGTCCGAGCCGAGCCCGAAGCCTGCGAGGGGGGAGCCCCGGGAGCGGCCGACTGCCCCGCCAGGGCGCGGGGCCTGATGCGCGCCGACGGGGGCCGTGGCTGCTGGCGGGCGACGGAGGCCACCCAGGTCACCTTTCTTGCGCTCTCTCCCCAAGGCCCAGCCCCCGACCCTTGGCCTGCTGCCTCAGCAGTTCCTAGAACCCGGGCGTTCAGGGAAGGTGGCCCTGGACCCCACCCGGTGCAGTGGGAGCTGGTTTTCTTACATGTTAAGTGTTTTGCACGCCTGAAGGTTTCTTGTAAGACCATCCTGTGTTGTTCCTCACCAGGGGCCGCCTGCCTACCTCCAGGTGAACGCTGCTTTAGGGGAGAAGGAACCGCTTCCGCAGCCCCCAGTGATCCAGACCCAGGGCCACAGCCCCTTGTGTTGTGCTGGTGTGGTTCACCGGGGTTGGGGCAGGGCTCAGGTCTTCTCCGCTCTCAGCTTTGTTTGGGTCTCCTTGGTTCCTGTCTCTCTGATGCCTGTTCAACCCACAAAGGAGATGGTGGCCTTGGGGTTATTTCAGAGTGTCTAGGTTGTATCGAGGATAAGTAGCAAGCAGCTGGCATTTACCAGTGCTTTGTCCCCAGAGAGGTCTGCAGAATCCCCACGCCTACCCTGCCCCTGGGCTTTAGGCACAGCACTATCCATCTCTGGGTGGACTCTGTTGCAGGTGACAGCGTGGCTACACCAGTGACCTGTGCGGTGGAGTTGTAATTTCTCTCCCTTTGAAGACCAGACATGCTCCTTTTGATGGCCTGTTTCGCCTTAGTGTTACATGGGCCTGTGCAAGACTTCAGTCTGAAGCTCCAAGCTAGAATTTACCGTGTGCAGACTCATTTTCGAATGGTAGAGCTGAGTATCAGGACAACCAGCGGCATTTGCAAGCATGACTGTGGCTTCTCTTTTAACAATGTGTCCCTGGTTGGATAGCACCTTCATGAGGTGTATTCAGGTAGCATGGTCTGTCATGTTAGAGGAAACAGTCACTGGTTTTGGACTGACATTGTTAAGCCGAAGCTGGATTGAGCTGCAGTTTTTTTCCCTCAGCAGTGTGAGTCTTAATGCAGGATGCCCAAGCTGCACCCTAGGCTGCTTCTCCGAGGGCAGGACGTGGAAACTCTTGGGGCAGAGCCCACTCTGGTATATTCTTGCGGTTTTTCAGTAGTACTGCATGGGCTTGGAGTCCTGTGAATGTTGGTGTTCGGAAAGCAGCCTTGCATCTGCAGTCTGTGCAGGGAGCAGCGAGGCCCACCCATAGGTGCTGACCACTGGCTGCGTACTCCTGTGTGTTCACACAGAGCTGTTAACATGATTGCATCCCTTAGGCTTCATTTTATGGTTTGGATGTGCTCCCAGGCTTGGGCACCCTGAAGCTCAGTGTCCTGACATTTGACAGGTTGGTTTCTGTCACAAAACCTTTCTTTTCTTTTTTTCTTTTTGATGTGTCAAAGGCTCCTGGAATCCCTTGTGTTTTGTTTGCATGCTTTGTGCTGCATTTCTGCAGATGCCTGGATAGCGTAATAGGAAGCCCTGCTGTGTGTCTTAGGATCACAGAAGGGGTGAGAGCAGGAATATCTTGGTTCCAACTGAGAAGTGGTGGCAGGAGTTAGGGTAATAGTTACATTCTCCAGTTTGGAACAGCTTCTTTCGCGGCAGGTCTCAGTATGGTCAGGTTTTTCGCTTTCTTATCCTTTCTCCTGGAAATTAATTGGGAGGGGTATAGTATGTAGATAGAACCTAGGGACTTGTGCATGCTAGTGAGCTACACACCCAGCCCTGGAAATTAATTTTCTAAAAAATGATTTGTTTTTTAGGCCTCCATTAAAGGGTTTGCTTAGCAGATAGGCTATTCCCTTGTGACTCTCCACCAGAGGTTTCCTGCCACGTGGGCTTCAGAGCAATGGCCACGGAGGAGAAGAAGCCCGAGACAGAGGCTGCAAGAGCCCAGCCCACCCCCTCCTCATCCGCTACACAGAGCAAGGTGTGCTCCTGGGGCTCCTTGGGGCCTCTGGGAGGTTATTGCAAGCCAATTGTCCAGCCTCCTCTACTCAGATAAGCTTCTTTGTGAGAAGCCACTTTTATTCATCGGCCACTTATTGTAATGACTGCCTACTGTGTGCCGTGTCAAGGATTCCCACATCTGTCACCTAGGGGGCAATGGTGGGGGGTTGGTTCTGATTGTAAATCTGTGGTACCCAGAAAACATTTCTGAGTAATCATCCCATCCAGTCCCATGTTCCGTCTGTTCTGCAGACCCCCCTCCCCAGGCACAGGAAGCAGGGCCTTCAGACGCCCTCTGGGAGGCCTGGGCATGCTGGAGCTGTGTGGACTTGGTGGCCATGCCTAGTGTGGGGGACAGGGCAGGGCCCCAAGGGACCTCAGACAAGTATCTGGAATGGTGGAGTTACTATGCTGAGGGGGGACTACAGCAGAATCAGGGCTTTGACGGGGATGTAATGGGCTGAGACTTAGACCTGGTCAACGTGAAGGATGATGTTGGGTGGTTGGTGGGCGCTTGGTGTCTCAATGTGGGAGTCCAGGCAGTGACCAGGCAGTATGGTTCCTTAGGCTCACTTTAGCTGCACTCTCTCCAACAGCCCACACCTGTTAAACCAAACTATGCTCTGAAATTCACCCTGGCCGGCCACACAAAAGCTGTGTCCTCCGTGAAGTTCAGCCCCAATGGAGAGTGGCTGGCAAGCTCATGTGCGTATCATGGAGCACCTCAGATAATGGGATGGGTGGTCTGAATCACAGATAAGAGTGGGGTGGGTGTGCTTCCCAGGGGCTTGTGGTAAATGGCGTGTCCCTTCTCTGAAACTGAAGAATCACTGCTTGTTGAAATTGTGCCAGTAACCTTCCTGCAGTGAAGGGGCAGAGTGGGGGGGGGGGGCTTGCCCCTTCTACTTGTGACTGTGCCTTCGGGTCCCTGAGTGATCTGAGCTGATTGGCAGGGGCTTAGGGTGTGGGACAGCTCAGGCTCTGGCCTTTGGGTAATGGGACAACTATATTCCTACCCTGAGCATCAGCTCCTTTTCATTTCTTTCAGCTGCTGATAAACTTATTAAAATTTGGGGAGCCTATGACGGGAAGTTTGAGAAGACCATCTCTGGTCACAAGCTGGTAGGTGTGGGGAGCAGGTGGCTCTGGTGCTCTTGGGAGGGAGGTGCAGCTTAGTGCCCTCAGTGTGTGATTGCCTGCTGCTGCTCTCCAGCCATCCAGCTCCACAGGTGTGCACCTGCTTGTCTCTGAGGCCAGCAGAGCCACTTTCTCTGGGCTCCCTGCCATCTCCTCTGGGCCACGAGTGTGTCTTCCTGTGGCTAACACTGGCCAGAGGATTTCCCCAGGGGAATGATGAGTGTGGGGACTTTGGCCTTTTGCTGGCCAGTGGTGTTTTGTCCTAGAGGATGGTTACTGTGTTTTTCTCCTCAAGGGAATATCGGACGTAGCCTGGTCATCAGATTCCAATCTCCTCGTTTCTGCCTCTGATGATAAAACCTTGAAGATCTGGGATGTGAGCTCGGTGAGTGTCATTGGTCCTCTGTGGGCGGAGGTGGCTGAGGAGGGGTAGGGGCCAGGACAGGTGGAACGGGATGGCGGTTGCTCGGTTGCTCGCAGTCAGCCCTGGTGTCTGGGGAAACTGCCCCTGGGAGCCACGTGGTCTCATCCTGCTGTGTTGTAGGGCAAGTGTCTGAAAACGCTGAAGGGGCACAGTAACTACGTCTTCTGCTGCAACTTCAACCCACAGTCCAATCTCATCGTCTCAGGGTCTGTAAGTGCGCTGCTCTCTCCTCTGGGAGGCGCTGTGGGTGTGCTGTGTCCTGTGCCCATGTCCAGCATGGGACAGGCAGGTCTGGGTTCTGGGGCCTCTGTCATCACCCCTCCTTCCCATAGTCATTTCAGTCGCCTCTCTTGTCTTCAGTTTGATGAAAGTGTGAGGATATGGGACGTGAAGACGGGGAAGTGCCTCAAGACTCTGCCGGCTCATTCAGATCCAGTCTCAGCTGTAAGTCCCCTGATGGGTGCATGTGGCTTCATCTGGCATACTTCTGCTGGTGTGCAGCCTCTGGGGCTGAGAGACCTTTTAGGCCTGTGTGCTGTGGAGGAGAGGGAGTGGGTGCCTGTGGGGAGTACCCCAAGACCCCTTGAAGGCTGGGAGGCCAGTGGCCATGGCTTTCAGGGGGGTTTCCCCCCAGAACTGACTCCCACAGGCTATGCCTGGAAGGGTGTAGGAGAAGAGGGAGCTCTGTGTCGGGCTGGGTGACCACAGTTAGGTGAGTTCTGTGTGCGGGGAGCTGATGGGTGGCGGGGCCTGCCCAGTCATGGAGAGAATCGTGGGGACCCCTGATGGCAAGGGCCATGGGGTCTGTGTCCTGCCATTGCACACGCACCATCCCAGTGTGCAGAACAAACGGACAGGAGTCATACTCTATAGAATGTAACAAACTGTTATTTAAGAGAGTGGCCCAAGCCGGTGGCACACGCTTGTAATCCCAGTGGCTCAGGAGGCTGAGGCAGGAGGATTGTGAGTTCAAGGCCAGCCTCAGCAAAAAAGCAAGGTGCTAAGCAACTCAGTGAGACCCTGTCTCTAAATAGAATACAAAATAGGACTGGTTTGTGTCTCAGTGGTTGAGTACCCCTGAGTTCAATCCCTGGTACCCTCACATCCAACAAAGAAAAAACACATTAAAAAAAAAGAGTGGCCCAAGGCTGGGTGAAGCTCTGGCTGAGTGCTTCCTGGGCATTCATGAGACCCTAGGTTCCATCCCAGCACCCCACAGACAAGGTGCTTGAAGGTCTCTGTGTTAACAAGAGCCCCAGGTGGTTTTGTAGCCACACTGTGGATGGAAGGATTTCAGAAGGATCAGGCATGTGGTTTGTTTTAGCCAGCACGAGTGGCTCACTTTTCTTTTTCTTGGTGCTGAGAACTGAACCCAGGGCCTCACCAGTGCTAAACTAGCCACAGCCCCAATCATTTTTTTTAGTTTTCGTATTCTGGGACAGGGACTCACTGAATTACATAGGTTGGCCTCTCAAACTTGTGATCCTCCTACTGCAGCCTCCTGAGTAGCAGAGATTACAGGTTTGCATCTCTGTGCCTGATGGAGCTGTTCACTCTTTGAAGTCCTGGTGGTGTAGGATTTTAAGCATTTTTGGCCTTGGAAGGCTTTTGCCCAGCTAAGACCACATAGCAGACAGACAGGCGACTTGGCCCTTGCTGGCCCAGAGCCGCTGCTAGCGCATAGGGCACTCTGCTGTGAGAGGCATGCAGGCAGCAGTGGGCACAGGACTGGCTCAGCCTTGCTGCCAGCCCCTGCCCCCCAGCATCTGAGACCCCAGGTAGAACTGGTTTTCACATGGGCTTGTGAGTGAGCCAGGAAACAGTGTCCCCAAGGAAGCAGGGGCTTGGGAGCCTCCCAGCGGTGAGGGCTGTGGGGCTGTCCTCCATGGATTTCCTGCAAAGGTTGTGTGTGCACACTCAGTGGAAAGGCAGGCAGGTGAGGAGTCTCCTGAGCTCTGCCCTAGCTGGTGACAAGAGCTGGTGTCCTTGGTGCCTGGGCTTCTGTTTTGTGTGCGTCTTCAGCCTTCCTTGCTGCTGTTCTGTTTTTAGATGACAGTGGTGATGTCTGCTGCTTCATAAGGTCCCTTGGGTGTTCTGGTTGTGTATATCTGTGGGCCAACATGGAATGCCACATACTTTGACGGATGCCTTTGGTGACCTTGTTTGTATCTATAGGAGTGCCCAGTTTGCACTGCGTTGGCACTTGTGGGACAGCTGAGCAGGCGTGTCTCGAGCTGGATGCTGGGCTGTGGGTGCTTGGCTGGCTTCTCTGCCCCCCTCCACCTTGTCCGCCCTGCTGCTCTGCTGAGCCTTGCCCACATGCCCACATGCCACACGCTGGTCTTTCTGTCCATTCCCCTGGGCGCTGCCTGGCTGTAGCCGTGTTTCCCCTGCTCAGAGGTCTTCCTGGCAGTTCATCTGAGGTGGCACTTGGTCCCCCTGTGAGCTCTGCCTCGCTGGTGTACCTCTTTCTCCCAGTCTGTGGTGTGGACTGTGTTACCTTGAACTGAATGTCTGTTGAGTGGAAAAGCCACGTTGAATGGGCCACTTTTGCCAGTAGGTAGGTAAGTGGAGCATGAACTGGACTTATGAGTTTGGGCCTGTGTTGGCTCGTTGCCATGGAGCAGAGTGCCCTCAACAAGAAAACGCTCAAAATCCTCAGGCTGTTTTGTGTGTTTAAGGCAAGGGCTGAGTGTGGGCAGATGGGTTGTAGTTAGTTGGGGAGAACTTTAGGGACAGCCCCCAGATGTTTGGTTAAGGACCTGGTGCTGCAGGAGCAGCTCCATGTGGGCTGGTAGAAGCAGTGATGACTGTCAGGAAGCTCAGAGCTGCTCTGTCCAGGTGAGGCCACAGTCTCATGTGGTGTCAAGCAGGGGTAGTGCTGTGATGCAAGGTACGGAGGCAGCACAGTGGAGAAGTGTCAACTACTTTTTCATGCTTTTTATTAGTCTACATGCTAAACAGCGTCTTAGGGTGAATGAGCCTACCAGTTTCACCTGTTCTGTGGACTGGAGCTGTGAGGGACTTCGCCACCACTGTGGCTTGTGGTGCCCCCATGGAGTCTAGCTGATGTCCCCTGGGTGAGCCCCCTTGGCCAGCAGCAGTACCTCCTGAGTGTATTTGAAAGGCATGTTTTTGGGCCTGTCACAGCCCCGGAGTCAGGATTCAGCGATGGGTCCAGGTACTGCCCTGTGTGGTAGCAGTCTCCCAGGAGCCCCTGCTGAATGTGGTCTTGGCTATGTCTGGAGACTTGGTTGTCACAGCCAGGTGCTGCAGGCCTCTGGTGGGTGAGCGACAAGACTGCGGCTACATGGGGCAGCTCCATGTCAGAGTCTGCTGAACTCTTCAGTGCCCAGATGGGGGAGCACACAGCCCAGCCCTGTCCCTGCATCATGGCACCCGGGGCTTCCCTGTGGCTTGACTTACAAAGGAAATGTGTCCCTCAAAGCATGGAGCAAGGCTTGTTCTGGGTCGTGTCTGCCCAGGTCTTCACTAAAAATGATTGAAACTTGTGCTTTCTTTCTTTCTCTTTTTTTGGTCCTGGGGATTGAATTCAAGCACTCAACCACTGAGCCCCATCCACAGCCCTGTTCTGTATTTTATTTAGACACAGGGTCTCGCTGAGTTGCTTAGTGCCTCCTTTTGCTGAGACTGGCTCTAAACTCACGATCCTCCTGCCTCAGCTTCCTGAGCTGCTGGGACTGCAGGCGTGGCCACCGTGCCCAGCATTGTGGGACTTCAACTCCTGGCATTGTGGTTCCGTTTATTCCCACTAAGGCTTACTTGGAAAGGAGAATTTAAGAGCTGAAATGAGTCATTGAAGAGGAGGACTGTTGTCGGGTGCAGTGTCCTTTCTATTAAAGTGCTGTCCTGGGGTGTTGCTCCATGGTGGAACACTTGTATAGCAAGTGCAAGACCAGACCTTTAGTCCTAGTACCCCTCCAGGAGAAAAGGAAGGTAAATGACCTCATTCCCCTCTCTGGGGAGCAAGGCCGGACCTTTAGGACCTTTAGATGGAGTGAGCCGTTGGTCATTGGAGGTTGGTTTGGGCCAGTGGCATGCGCGGAACTCAACCTCTTCTGAGGCAGGTGTGGAACCACCTGGATCCCTTCTGTCCAGCTCAGAGCTCATGTGGGCTCTCCAGTTCCCGGCCTGGGATCAGCAGTCAGCTAGGTGTCTGGGGCTCAGCTTCTTGGTGGCTCTGGTGGGCAGGCACAGGTGTATGAAGGAGAGGGACCGGAATTCCTGCCTTTTGCCTTTCCTCTCTGTTGAGTCAGGGAAGTTAGGTTCGGCCGTATTTGCCCTGTCAGGCTGTCCCCAGCAGGACAGATAGACAGGCCTGGAAGCCGCCCCTCTAGAGTCCTGTGGGCCTTTGTGGTTTGGCATGAATCCTGTGGGGTGGTCTGGCTTCGTGCTAGGGCTCAGTCCTCTGTCACCCTGTCGTGAGTCCTGGGTGGAGGGTGCTGGGGAGAGGAGTGGTGTGCGGATGACTTGGAATAATTTCTGTTTTCCTCTTGTTCTTTAATTCTTAGGTCCATTTTAATCGTGACGGATCCTTGATAGTTTCAAGTAGCTACGATGGTCTCTGGTGAGTGAGAGGATCTTGTTTCATGTAATCACCAGGTGCTCATTCAAGGCCTGCTCTTGAGCTTTCTGGCCCTGGGGTGCAGTTACAGAAAGGGACACATGTTCACCTTCCAGAAGCACATCCCAGTGGGCTGCAGTTTCAGTGTAGGTGTGGGAGGAGCTAGGGAGGGAGACCAGCCAGGACTGGTGGGGGAGCGGTGGCCAAGAGCTGCGAGTGTGTCCTGCATAGCTTGTGGAGAGGGGCTGACCTAGCTCGAGACGACTCTCTGATGCCATTAACCTGGCAGGGGGTGTCCCAGCCAGGTCCCCTGGGTGTTATGCTGACCTGGAGGAGGTAGATGCTCAGGGTTGGAGGAGATGGGAAGACCCCTGGGGCAGGTAAGAGCCCAGGCGGGAAGCCTCCGATGAGTCCTGGCTGGGGACCTGGCTTGAGTGGTGGGGGAAGGAGGGACCACTGATGCTGGCAGAACTTGGCAGTGGGAAGTGAGGGAGGAGTGCTAGCAGAGCGTCCACCTGTAGCACAGAGGGACAAAGAGCATGCCTGGCCATGTCGGTGGGAAGGCATGAACCACACAGGGGAGCAGGGTCTGTAAGCATGTGGCAGAACCAGCAGCAGGGCCAGTGAGAAAGAGCCCAGAAACGCGGCCGCCGGAGCATGGTGATAAAATCCAGAAATGGGAGGAGAGTATGACTGGTTTTCTTTTTTAACCCGTGTTGGCAATCTAAGCCAGGGTGCTCTACCACTGAGCCCTGTCCCCAGCCCTTCTTATTTTTTGAGACAGAATCTCAAAAAGTTCCCCAGGCCAGTCTTGAACTTATGATCCTCCTGCTTCAGCCTCCTAAGTTGCTGGGATTTCAGGCATGCACCACCACATCCAGTACGACTTAAAAATCTTTTTTTTTTTTTTAATTTATTTTTTAGTTTTTGGCGGACACAACATCTTTGTTTGTATGTGGTGCTGAGGATCGAACCCGGGCCGCACGCATGCCAGGCGAGCGCGCTACCACTTGAGCCACATCCCCAGCCCCTTAAAAATGTTTTGATGTTTATGTTTTTAAAATTTTTATGTTTTGTGGTGCTGGTGATTGAATTCAGGCCTCGTGTATGCTAGGCAAGCACTCTGCCACTGGGTCATACCACAGGCCTGTGAGTGCTTTTAATGTATCCTGTAACTCAAAGGAGGAGGACTTGGGACTTGGCAGATCTGGTGGACACCCTTAACTGCAGTTTGCTGTGCATAGACTGTATTGTGTGCTGCAAAGAGGAAATGGGTATTTTCTCTTTTTTTGGTACCAGGGATTGAACCCAGGGGGCTTAACCACTGAGCCACATCCCCAGCTTTTTTTTTTTTTTCACTTAGAGATGGGTTCTTACTAAGTTGCTCAGGGACTTGCTAAGTTGCTGAGGCTGGTCTCAAACTTTGTGATCCTCTTGCCTCAGCCTTCTGAGTCACTGGGATTACAGGTGTGGCCGCTGTGCCAGGCTAAGATGTATTTGTTAAGGCCAAAAAAGCAAAAATGAGCAAGACTTAAAATACAAAGGGAGATCACAACTTCAGGGAGGGTGGGCTGTACAGGTTGGTGAGCCTTGCTTTTGGAACCGGTGAGGGATCTGGAGCTAGGTGGTCCATTACCACTGAAGAGCTGGAGAACGTGGTTGAAGATCTAAAGTAAAGGTGTCCTTGGTCCTCATGATTTTATACCTGAGTTCAATAAATAACACACTTTTAAGGTTATCTAAACTTTCCCACACTAGAAAGAGGAGCTCCCTGATCTAATCCATCTTTGGGGCCTTGCATACCCTTCCTGCCCAGAGCTGGAGGGCTGTTCCCTCATGAGCACTGATGCCAGAATGCCAAGGACAACCAGCAGGCTGAATCTGAGCATGCCCCACATGGTGCCCCACACCTACCCGGCCAGGGGACTCAGGGTGATGACGGAGGGGGTGGCAGACACCCGAGAGCTGGCTCCCCAACACTGAAGGCGCCAGCCTCCTTGTCATTACCAGTAGAGACAGGTGCCTGAGCAGATCTGGCAGACCTCCTTGTGGACACCTGTAGTGGGAGACGCCACTGTGGTCATTTGTGGAATCTGGAAAACCCTGTAGTGTGTGGTGACAGGTAAACCCCTTGCCTGAGCCAGGAGCAAAGTGCGCCTGGCCGTCCCCCTCACTTGGCACCCTCAGCTCTTCTAGTTAGTGTGACAGGAGAACAGTTGGGTGAGGTTAGATGGGGCTCTGTCTCCTCATAGATATTTACGTGTCCTTAAAATTTAAAATTAAGCACTGCTAAGGTGCTTTGCCCACGTTTACCCATTTACCCCTTTTTGAGGGTCCTTCCTTGGTTCTTGTCATCCCCACTTTGTGCTTGGGAAACTGAGGCTGGCATAACACTTGCCAGTTGTCCCTCCGCTGGCCAGTGACAGGCAGGACCCAGGCTTCACAGCTGGGCTGTGAGCCCCAGCCCTGCTGCCACGATCTGTGCTGTACACTGGGCCAGGGGCTGTTCTCCTGTCTGCTGGGAGTCACCAGCTAGAAGATGGGGTGCTCTGGTATGAGAGCAGCAAAGCATGGAGCTGTTCAGGAGTGTGCTTATCAGAGACCAGGACCTCAGAGAACGGGCATCTGATGGAGGACACCTGTCTGGTGCAGGGTGGGACTGGCAGCACTGCCCTGAGCCTCTGCAGTGTGAAGCGGTTGCTTAGAGAGTCCCCCCAAGTTCTTGCTGCGGCTAGGTAAAGGGGTGAGGCTGCAGGGCAGGAGGGCTGCTGCCAGCTCAGTGGGTTCTTGGAGCTGAGGTGGCCTCCTAAGCACACAGGTGGTCTTGTTTGGGGATCCCAGTGCTGTGGGGTCCCTCCTATGGCTGGGGAGAAGAGGCCATATTAGAGTAGCCTGGGGCGTTGTCTTGTCGCCTTGGGGTACAAGGAGTATGGCCGAGCTGGGGACCGGGGGACTTACACTGGGAGATGACCTGTCCACGTGTTATGGTTAGCAAGTTCCCACGTTCAGCCAGCACCCCCACCCGGCATCTCTGGAAGTGTGGGTGCTGAGACAGTGCACGATGGGGCATGCTTCCAGTGTGCATGTTGGCAGAGGTCACAGGAACCCTGAGACGGGCGTGACGTCAGAGCCTGGCATGACTCCTGTTTTCCTGTTACTGAACTAACGGGGTCACCAGGAAATGGCACCAGCCTCCTTTTTACAAGGGTCTGTCCTGCCCTTCCTGCCTGTGTGTTGGGGGTCTGTGGAGTCTAGACCTGCCGGTGAGCCCCGCAACGCACCTTCAGCCTTGGCTGCCTCCTGCAGAAGAGCCTAGCCCAGTCCCTGGGCTCACTGGCGTGGTGCCTGGTCAGTGTCTAGAACATAGGAGAACAGCTGCCCAGGTTGTGAGTGCAGTGGGGCTGGTACCAGAGCCAGTGGTGGCAGCTGGCCTTCTCATATGGTTTTGTTCTTGCTTTGAAGCCGCATCTGGGACACCGCCTCGGGCCAGTGCCTGAAGACACTCATTGGTGAGTGTGCCATAGGGGTGGGGCTGGGTGGGGCTGGGCCTGCAGCTCTTCATCTTCACTGTTGTCCATCTCCTACTAGCATCTACTTCCTGTCGAGCTCTCTTGTTCCTTTTGTGAAACTTGCTGCTGTCTTCTCTCAGGCCAGTCTGGGGCCCCCTGGCCTGTGTTGTCTGGTCTTGCTCAGGGCTGCTCCGCTGTGTCCTCAAGTACCTGTGCCCTGCTCCTGGCTGCTGCCTCTCTGGGGAAGTGTGCTCTCCTGTTTGGGTGCTGCTGAAGCCTGAGGGCTTCTTGGGGATGAGGGAAGGGGAGGACCTGGCATGGCGGGGTGGGGCAGGTGGAAGCCTGTGGCTGGAAGGGTGTTCCCAGGAAGTTTGGTGTTCAGGGCCCAGTCTCTGCAGGCCTGGAGAATTGCAACTTCAGCTTAGGATGCAGAAGGGACAGCGGTGAGGAAGCTGGGTGGTGGTCACCCCACAGGCCTCCCCTCAGTGTGTCCACCTGGGAAGCTGTCTTCAGGCTAGTCATGGTCCTGAAGCTCTTGGTGGGGCCCCATGAGTGGGGGACAGTGGCCTTTATGCCTTCCTGCTCTGGGAGCCTATCTTCTTACCACCCACAGCAGACTCATGTCCGTGTCTGTCAGCTTGTCTCCTGGTGCATGCCCAGCTCTGCTGCCAGGACCCGTCCTGGTGCACAGAGACCAGGGAGGTGCTACACATGCATATCTGCGTGCTCCTGCTACCACACTGTTGTCCTCACAGTGAGCTGCCCTCAGGTGTATCTGCCTGTCACAGAGCAGGTACTGTAGGCAGAGAGAAGTCAAGTAACTGTTCTGAAGCCACACAGCAAGTGCAGCCATTGCTCTGTCTCTGGGGGATTGGTTTGAGGACCTCCCATGAATACCAGACTCCTCAGGAGCTTGGTCCCCTGTGTAAAAAGGCGTGGCTAGAGTAGGGCCCGCACACATCCTCATCTCTAGATTGCTCCTATGTGCAGTGGAAACAGTGGTCACATGGAGGCGGACCTGCAGCGCGGGGCTCCACGCTGACCAGAGTGCAAAGCTGGCAGGTGCCCGGAGCAGGGTCTCTGTGCGCTGAGCCCCCTTGTCCACGGGGACCAGACAGTGCTAGTCTCACAGCAAATTCAAGTCTCGACTTTGAGATTTTCTGGAATATTTTTGTTTTTTGTAGTAGTTTTGACCTGTGGCTGATTAAGCTGTGGGACGTGGACTGCAAGTGGCAGGGCCAGGACTTGGGCCGGGACTTGGGCCTGGCCTTGACTAGAAGAAGGCCTGAGAGACAGGGCAGGGTGGGGGCGGAAGTGGTGGGGTGGCCGTCTCTCCTCGGCCTAGTGAGCTAGATTGCTGGGGCCCAAGTGGCCAGGCAGCTGGTGTGTCCGGTGTCCTGCTGGTTAAAGTGGCTTGGGTTTAACCACCGGACGCCATTTGCACTGGTGAGCCAGCGGGCCGAGCTTCACACTGCCTCGTGTGCCTTTTCAGTGTGGGTGACCAGCCCCAGCAAGCGGAGGCCCTGGCAGACCCCTGGTGGTAATGCCGTGTGCTCGGGGCACGGGGCATGGGGACCCTGGCAGGCTGGACAGCCCCTTCCCAGGAGCACCTCCCCTCCTTACCCGGGAAAGGGTAGACGCCCTGGTCCCCCTGGGAGAATGTGCATCCTAGCGTCCCTGAAGTGGACCTCGATGTGTCCTCAGCGGAGACGGGTGGCCCTGCCTTTGCAGGCCCTGCGTTGAGCTTTAAAACCAGGGCTGGGGGTCACAGAGGCTGGGCCCTGAGCCACACCAGAGGAAGGCATCGCCATGGCTCCAGCCCAGCTTCCCCTGAGGAGGTCTCCCAGCCTGACCTCCTCAGGGACTGGTGAACCTCAGTCTGTGTGGGGCAGCCAATGCCTGTCCCCCAACTGAGGAGGGCCCTCAGGCACTTTGTTCCTCAAGTCCTGGCATCTGAGGGCCCTTGGGTCCAGGACTCCGCCTCGAGAACACACTACAAGGCTGCCCTGGGATGGGGAATGGGTGCTGGTGGTTCTTCAGGGGCTCCCAGGGGTGGTGGTGCTGCACTGGTGGCAGCAGCCTCACATGGTTGTCACACTTGGTGACGGGGAGCAGCCGTTGGGCAGACTGTCCTGCTCTGTGTGTGAGTGGGCTTGCCTGTTTTTGGCACAGATGATGATAACCCCCCGGTGTCCTTTGTGAAGTTCTCTCCAAATGGCAAATACATCCTGGCTGCCACTCTGGACAAGTAAGTGCTTGATTTGTGTCAGGGGCAGGGTGTCTCCCACCAGCGTGGAGCTCTGAAGGCTCCTTGTGCTTGGCGTGGTCCAGACCTAGTGTGTCTGGGCTGTAGCTGGTCTAGCTTGTGCCTGGAGCTGCAGGCGGGGCAGGCGCTCTGCCCCTGAGCTGCTCCTCGGCTCCTGAGTACCTGGTTTACCCAGACTGGATAGAGAGTCTCCCCTGCGTGCAGACTGGATAGAGGTCTCCCCTGCGTGCATGCTTGGCATGGCCCACGTGGCTGGGTGTTTTCCATGGTCTGCACCCTCCCTGGGCTCAGGGTGAATCTCACTACCCTGGGTTTGGTCTGTGGGATCTGGAACTGAGGACTTACCCCAACTTTTGGGGACTGGCAGCTGAAGGAGGGGCTACAGCCCCCAGAAACTGAAGTCTGGCTGTGAGCTGCTCATGTGGGGGGTTCTCCTGCTGGCTCCAACGTGCCATCAGGTTGCTGGACTTGGTAGACCTGAGTCCCCCTGGTCTGGGCGCCCTTCCCTGGTGGGCTGGGCTTCCGATCCCAGCGGCCTCGTGCCTGGTGCTGGTGGTCTCCGGTTGTGGTGGCGTGGCGGCAGCTCCTCACCCCTCTCTGTCTTGCAGCACGCTGAAGCTCTGGGACTACAGCAAGGGCAAGGTGAGCTCCGGCCCGGGGTTGTTGGCGGTAGTGCGGCAGTCTGGGAAGCCGAAGCAGAAGGGGCTGCGGGGCCCACAGACCTGGGGTTTCTTGCCGCCAGCCTGCAGGTTGAAGCTTAGACTGTGGTTGGACCCGGGGTTGGGCTGTGTGGGTTCTGGGTATTTAGAATACTTTCCAGAGTCAAGTTCAGCCAGCAGACTGTGCTTGGATCTGAGCGTTCTCCAGAATGCAGGGACCTGGGCTCTGACCCTGCTGCATCTGCCTTTTCAGTGCCTGAAGACGTACACTGGGCACAAGAATGAGAAGTACTGCATTTTTGCCAATTTTTCTGTGACTGGTGGGAAGGTGAGTCCCCTTTGAGCAGCCTGCCACTCTCCTCCTCTCTTCCTGTTGCCACCCCACAGGTGGCTCATGTCCTTCAAGTTTTCCTGAGCCCACAAGGTGTGTGTGTTCTAACAGGGTCGGGTCACAGCTGTGCAGTGCAGGGGCACCTCCTCCCCTGCTGCTGGGCCCACCTCACTCCTGGGGCCAGCCTCCCTGAGGGGCCGAGCTGTCACTGGCCAGCATTGTCTTCTGGAGTTGGGATGCTACGACTGTGGCTTGCGTTAAGCCCTCTGTCCTCTCCCAGGCCTGTCCTCCCGGCCTGGACTCTGGTGTCAAGCTCTGACTCTGTCCAGTACCTAAGAGTAGATGGTGACTCTGGGCGGAGTGTGAACCACAGCAGAGCCCAAGGGTGGTGGCTGAAGGGAGCAGTTCACACCCTGGAGGCCCTCGGGGGATTGAGCTCTTGAGTCTCAGCTCAGGCTGGGGTGAGGGGTCAGGGCGACTGGCAGTCCTGCTGGAGACGGGGAGCTTTGTGTTTTGGGTTGAGCATAGCAGCCACGGGAAGGACGGCGCCCGGGTATGTAGCTGGAAGTTCAGCTGTCCCCATGCTGAGCTCTGGCCTGTCTTTTGTCCCCGGCTGTGGTGACTCAGTGGATCGTGTCTGGCTCTGAAGATAACCTGGTGTACATTTGGAACTTGCAGACGAAGGAGATTGTCCAGAAGCTGCAGGGGCACACAGGTGGGCCCCCTGTGGGGTGACTGCCTAGGGGCGGGAGGCGTGCTCTGGGGATGAAGTCCCTGCTTCCTGCTCCTCTTTCCAGGCCTGCCGCCAGGTGTGTAGCGCTGGGCCCCAGAGCTGGTCAGTTCTGGCTTGTGGTTCCTGGTTCATGCCTAGGGCTCTTGGCCTCACCTGCCCTCCTTTTGCCAGATGTCCATTGGCTCTGTGACTCCCCAGGTGGCTGAGGTGTGCGATGGTCCCCTGGTGGCAAGCTGCATTTTCTAGAGGCTCCAGCCTCTTTGAGGAGGCGCTTCCCACCTCCAGCAATGTGCTGAGCAGGCGCCTTGCGTCCTTGGCTCTGAGGGGGTGGCTCCTGTGCATTCCCAGTGCCCTCCGCTGTCCCCTAGCTGCCCTTGTCCCTGCTCTTCCCCTTGGGTCCTGGGAGCAGGGTGTGGCGCTCCTTTGGAAGACTGAGGGGTGCTACGCTTTCTCCCTGAGGTGGCAGTCTTGGGGCTCGGTTTACGTAAGGCTGCAGACACCCGACAGTGCCAGCCTGCTGTGCCAGCTCCTTGGTGCCCACGTCCCTGCCTGGTGTGCAGTTGCCTTAAGGTGTCCGAGCATCCTGGTGGGGCTTGGGCTCCGTTCCGTGGTGGGGGGAGGCACAGTGGTCACCTTGAGAGAAGAGTGACCCCTGCTGCTAGCAGCACTTCCAGCACTTGTCCTGGAACCCTTCCTGGGTGGTCACTGGCTGGGCAGGGTGTGGCCTTGTTCTCCGAGGCCAGCAGGGCAGTGAGGCTGGCCTTGACCCCTTTCTGTTTGCAGACGTTGTGATCTCCACGGCTTGTCACCCGACAGAGAACATCATCGCCTCAGCTGCGCTAGAAAATGACAAGACCATTAAACTGTGGAAGAGTGACTGCTAAGTGCCCTGGTGCTACAGGGGCTGTCGGGACGTTGACCCTGATGGGCAAGAAACGTGGCAGAGGGGCCCAATTCAGGCCTGAGGTAGCCGAGGGGAAGTGCACGCCACCAGAAGGTTCTAGAGGTTGCTGTGACACTTCTGCCAACTCTTGCCCTGTCTGGGAGGAGATCCCAGTCTGTTGTGCTCAGAAAGGCAACCAGATTTTTAATTTTTTATTACAAGAGTGAAGTTCAATTTATCATGGGTTGTGTTTTTTCCAGTAATTGTTCTGTACATTTTTGATATTTTACTACCCAGTTGGAGCGCTGTGAACAGTCCCCTCCTGGGGCCCTGGGCCACTTCCCCGGCCCCTCCCACTCTCGCCTGCCGCGTGGTGTCCTCACGCCGCAGCTCTGCCTGCCTGCCTGTCCGTCGACCCCTGCCTGTTGTAGTTCCCGGCGCGTTTCCAAGTCTTCCTGGAAGGTGCAGCGCTGTAAGGTTGCCCGTGTGAAGTCCTGTGTTTTGGGAGTTGGAGGCTGGTGGCCTGGCAGCTTGGTGGCTGCAGACAGTTTCCCCTTCGTGCACAGCACTCACACAGCTGCACACGAGCTGTAATAAAAGGTGGGATTTTATATGCACTTGTCCACGGCGTTCTGATGTGAAGCTCGTCCCCTGGAGGAGGGCAGGAGGTTGGAAGGGGCTCTGTCCCAGCCCCTGCCGTTGCCTCCTGTCTGAAGGCCAGTGGGAGGGGTCGCTCTCCATTGTCAAGGAGGGAAGCCCTGGAGTGGCCTGTGTGGCAGGAGGCGCCTGAGCGGCTGTAAACAGGTTGGGCTCAGGCCAATTTGTGCAGGAGGGAGGAGGGCAGGTGTTGCCTGTTCCCTTATTGATGGCCTGAGGACCAGCAGGTCGGCTGCCCCTGAAGGCATGACCTCCTTCCTTCTTGGTGGCTTCTGCTGCGGGCTCCTCAGGGATGCTGGGTGCTGCCCGTGGGCCTGCCCCTTCCAGTCCCCACCCCATCTGGAGCCTCTGCAGCAATCTGGCAGGTCTGGGAGGTGGCAGCCGAGCTCAGAACCTCAACTGCAGTTTGTCACAGCTGCTGCCTCACTGTGCTCCTGGGGAGCCTGGCCCCGAGCAGGATGGATGCAGGGGTTCCAACCCAGGTCTGCTGGGTGAGACCTTGTTGGTGAGGACACGGTGGAAGGCTTGTCCCCTCACCTGTGTGCCCTGACTACAGAAATGCGTGGAGCTGGTGCTGTTGTGCTTGGGAAGCCTGCCAGGTTTGGGTCTGCAGATGCCTCAGCTAGGACAGGCCGGCTCCCCTGTTAGGGCCCCAGGTGGACAGGCCTGGGAGAGGGAGTTGGGGCTTTCCTGGAGGGGCAGTGGGGTCAGTCAGCTGTCCCTAGCCAGGCTCATGGGGATCCTCCAGTGGCTAAACAGGGTGAGGTAAAAATCCTATAAGGAAGCTTCCTGCAGTTTCTGTCTCCTCCTGGAAAGATGTAAGCACGTGGGTTATCTGTTCACGAAGCCCACTGCTGCAGGAAGAGGTGGCTTCTAACGCCGGTTGCAGTCCTGTACTGCCACTTGCTTGACCGTCACCAGAGGGTCCCACTGGCCTCATGGCTGTGCTGCTGCGGCTCCCCTGGCACTTCCTGAGGGGCGCCTGCCCACCCTGCCTTCTGAGGGTACAGCCCCCTCCTGGGAGGAGGAGGAGCTTGCTATGCTCAACGCTGTATTCTTGAATATAGTTTATTTTTTCTACAGTTGAATTCTGTTGTAGATTTATGTAAAAATACACCTCTTTTTGGAAATAAAGATTTTCATGTCTTGTAACTTTGTCCCATAAGAATTTCTTTTTTAAATAGCACAGATTTATTTCTCACTTCCTTTGACAAGGAGCTGGTTGAAGTCCTTCAAGGGTGCAACATCACGATCCCTGTGTCCAGGGCTTAGTGGGAAGCTGGTTTTGGAATTTGGCCATAACTCACACTGTCCTGGGGCTTGAGTGGCCTTTCCCAGGCAGGTATGTCCTTGGTGCACACAGGACATCCCTCACCTGAGCTGAGTGCAGCCTTTCCTCGGGGACTGCCACCTTCCATCCTGCGGGAGCTTGTGTGGGTGAGGGGAGGTGGTGTGCCTGCTCCTCCTGCAACACAGGAAGGGCACCAGTCTTAGTGTACTGTTTCCACTCGGCCTTTCTGCTGTCACTCCTCTGCTAGCCCCTTCTGTAATTAGGGTTCCAAAACGTGGGTGCCTCCAGCCACAGTGAACATCAAAGGCCATTTATAGATTTGGGGTTGTCTACAGGATCCCCATGAAATAGATTGATTTTATTTTTGAATTTCAACTTAAAGTTTTAAATTAGGCACTCTCTGAAATTGCGTGTGTTAAAGGTAGAGATGTGTAGGGACACGTTCTGGTGTCCAGACAGTGGGGAACAGCGCCCGGCTGGGTGTAGGTACTGTGGCTCTCCATCTTTTGGGTGAGCTGAATCTGGATCATCTTATTCTGCTCACACAGGCTAGTGAAGGTGTTGCCACCATGTGAAGAACTAGCTGATTTAGAAAACAGCTTGTGCTCACTTCAGTCCCAGAAATGCCATTTAAACAGCCAGCAAAAAGCTGGGAACATAGCTCAGTTGGTAGAGTGCTTGCCTTGCATGCACAAGGCTCTGGGTTCAATCCCCAGCACCCCACCCACACACTTAAAAAAAAAAAAAAGCTTTGATGGTGGCCTTCAGAGGTGTGAGGTTTAGAAGTCCTCCCAGTGGGGCATTGTGGCCCCAACTGTACACCCAGTGACTGGAGGCTGAGGCAGGAGGATTGCAAGTTGGAGGGCAGCGGCGGCAATATAGTAAAAACTAAACTGAAAAGGGCTGGAATGTAGTTCTGTGGTAAAGCACACTGGGGTTAAGTCCTCAGTAACAAAACAAATCTCAACAAGTTGTGGGTCCAGCAAGCACCAGGGGTGCACAAAATGGCCTAAATTTCTAACTCACAATGTAGTAAAGATGAGGAGGGTGACGGTCCTTGACATTGGCCCTCAGACTGATCAGTGTCTCCCAGTGTGCTTTGCATGGTTTTAAAAAATAACCTATTATTGTGGAAGTTAGATATTTGTGTTAATTATTGACATTAAGAGTGCAAAGCTGGGGGCTGGGATTGTGGCTCAGTGGTGGAGAGCTAGCCTGCAGGTGTGAAGCCCTGGGTTCCATCCAAAAAAAAGAAAAAAGGTAAATACCTTTGTGTCCAACTATAACTTAAAAAAAAGGCGGGGGGCGGGGAAGATGATAAATAACTCAAATTTCTACCATTGCTAACAATTTGGGATGTCTTAAATGTAGTCACTATTACAGAAGCTTTCAGACAGAGCAGTGGAGAGAGGGAGGCCTGGTGTGGTGGCGCGTGCCTGAGGCCAACTGATCAACTTAACCAGATCCTGTCTCCCCTGCCAAAATCACGCAGCCCTCATGTCCCGTCCTCTGCTGCTGTTCCCTGGAGGTCAGAGTTTGTCCTGTGAGCGTGACTATCCCTACACTGTCCCACCCTAGAACGTCAGGATCTGACGCTCTGACTCTCAGTTGTCCTGTGCTTTAACGCACTTGCGGACACTCCTGGACCCGCCCGCGACACGCAGGCACGGTACCAGGTGCCTTTCCATCCCGGACCACGGGGGGCGGGGTGGAGAAGAAAAGAAAAAAAAAAAAAACGATGGTTAGATGCCACGAAGTAGGTGGCAATGCCTTAACCGTATGCGTGTTGTCAGGCCCGAGGGCCTCTTCCATCCTTGTCAAGGGGAGTGCTAACCTTCTCTCCTTTCATACAACACGCTTGGAATTGCGGGAGGTGGCTATTTAAGGACCACTTTCCTGCACACCTTTTGATAATGGCGACTTTCTGTTCGCTATCAGTAGCAGCCACAGGTGGTCACAACTCTTTGACTATTGAGTCACCACTACTACATTTGATCGCCTTTATTAATTTGAATAAGAAGGGAGCAGATTTTTTTTCCTATGCTTTAATGAATTCATAAATCCAGCCAATCAGGATAAGGGGAACACCGGAAGTCACGGGTGTCTTTCTAAGAAGCCTACTCCCCCGGAAACAAAACAGGGCGGGCGCGCACTTCCTACGGATGGGTACACGTCTCGCGGACGGCGGGAAGAGGAACCGAATTGTCTGCGGAAGTGGAAATGGCGGGTAACGAATCAGAGGACGAGGATCGGAGATTCCCCGCATCGGACTTCCGGACGCGGCCCACGCGCGGAACTGTGGGTGCTGCGCCTGCTCTGCGCTTCCGCTCAGGTCCGCGCCTGCGCCATGCCGCTCCGCCTTTGGCTGAGGGTTCGAATCCCAGAGCTCGCACCGCCTCTGGCTCGCCCGCTCTCTTCCGGGCCGGGATGCCGGTGCGGCGCTGCAGACCGGCATCCGGCTGTCGTTCCTGCGCGAGGCGCTCAGGCTCAGTTCTTTTCTGAAAAAAAGCCAGTGAGCTCAAACGGCCAGGCGGCGCCAGCCTCATCGTCACACCACGACGGTGTGTCCACGCGTGCGCTCGTGTCCGCACGCGCACTCCCGCAGGCCGTGTGCACACGCGCACCCCCGCCTCCTCCCCTGGAGACGGCCCGGAGTGGCCCGAGCGCCGGGAGGACGCGGCGCCAGGCGTGCCCGTGTGGGCACCGCGCAGAGGGCAGGGCGGCTGCGCCTCGGCCCCGGGTGCCCGGCCGGGGAGCTGGGCGAGCGCGGGGAGCAGGGGCAGCGGAGGGCAGGGCCGCGGGGGAGGCAGCCCGCGGGAGCGGCACGCCGCCCTCAGGCCGCGGAAGGAGAGGTTGGAGCGGGCCCCAGAGTCCGCAGGGACCTGCGGCCTGGGGACCGGCAGCCCTCACACCCTGGCCACCTGCCTGCAGTCGCATTTGTCCTGGTCACATTCACCTGGCCTCCGTTTGTTCCAGACCCTGAACTCTGCCATCTTACCCGGAGGCCCGGGGGGTGAAAATGCTAAGCCCTAACTTCGCCTTGGGGCTCCCAGTGGCCTGGTGAGGTTAAGAGGGATGCCCTCGGCCCTCAGCACTGCCAGGTCCTGCCCTGACCACTGTCGTGGCTGGGGAGGGGTTGCAGCTAGGGCGAGGGTGGGCAGTAGACCCCGCACAGGCCTGGGCACCACCTGGGTGCGAGGCCAGGGAGGTCCCACCCAGGTGTTCTCTGACTTGGCCCCCAGCCCCATCAGAAAGAGGGTGTCCCAAGGAGGAGACCACAGGCCAACAGCGACAGCTCCCTGCTGTGGGCAGGAGCTGGTCGGACAGTCTGCTCCTCTCCTGTCTGTCAGCTTCCCTGTGTCATGGCTCACAGCTGGTGGCTTTGGCTGTAGCCCTGCACTCAGGAGGCTGTGTTAGGCGCAGGGCTTGCTCTTTCCTCAGTCTGCAAGTTCATGGTCTCTGATTGTTTGGAGTGTGAGGGGGCAGCTGGGTCCTCCTGAAGGCCAGACCAGGCCCCTCCCAACACTGGGATTGTTAAAATACACGCTCTTGCCCCCAGTTGGATGCAGGTATCAGGCCCAGGGATCTGTGGGCATGAAGCCTGGGGTCCTGCTTCATGGCGGCCTGTGTTTGGGTGCAGGTGGGGAGTTTTCATCTGTGGACTTAGCAAGAGTGACTCAGGATGGAGGAAGACAGCCGAGGGTCTTTGCAGAGTCAGGACGAGACTGGAAGTCCCTGGCAGGCCACCGCCCTTTCCTGAGATCCCTGCAGACTGGTGAGCGGTGGGCTGTTTGTTGGCTGCATTCACTGAGGCAGCATTTCCTGTGTCCCTGGTGCTGCTAGGCCTCGTGCTTTGCCTTGGGTCCTGTTGACTACCACTCTGATCCCAGTGCCTTGTTGAACACATGCCCCATCAGGATGGGGATCACCACCTCAGCCTGCATGCTGGCCTCCGCAGCTCCACCCCAGGAAGGAGGAGGCACACTAGGAAGGCCCTTGCACCCGTCTCCATGTAGCCTGGGGTGGAAGCACAGATGGTACCATCCGAGTGTTCGCTATGGGATTTGCTCTGCATTTCCTGAGTTATCAAGAAGGTTCCTCGCTGAGTCTCCTCCCAAGGGCATCCTCAAAGGCTTCTATGTTAAATCAGGAGCTACAGAGAAAGTTCTAGAAGTAAGAAAAGGTGAGGTCACCTTGCTCACTTGCACTTTCCATACACGCAGGCACACAGAGGAGAGGAACCTCCTAGGGGCACCTGGCAAGTTGTCACTGGGGAGGTCGGGTTGGGGACCCAGCTAGCCTGCTCCTAGGAGCTGGGAATGGAGAGGGGTTGGCAAGGGTTAGCATACAGACCTGGAGGAGCCCAGCCTGTGCTCACCTTTCCTTTCAGCTGTCACTGGTAGGGTCACTAGGTAGAACCCAAGGTGCCCAGTGTAACTGGAATCTTGGGTGAACTATCAGTGATGACTTTTTTAGTGCATGTCCCAAGGGTTTCAGAGAACGGGCTTCACTAAAACATTATTTCACCCGAGGCCACAAGTGGTGTCAGGTCCTGTGCGTTTATTCTCTAAACTCTGCTGCTTCATAATAGGAGGGGCACTTTTGTCATTTGCCCACAAAGCAGCTTTCCCCAACAACTAGTGGCCACTTGTCCCTTGAGATGCCCATGGGAAAAGGGAGGAAAACTGATGAATTCTGTGTTAGATAAAATTGCAGAATCCCTTTCTCTGTAAGGAAGGGTGGTGGGCTGGTGGAAACCAGGCCTGGGGGTGAGCGCAGTTAGTCCCATTGAGGCCAGTGCGTTCCTAGCCTGGTGGATTGAGTTCTGTGTTCTAGGAAGTCAGTGTCTGGAGGACATTGG